TTACCAAGTACGGGAGCACTGTGGAACGAGCCATCAGACGTGAACGAAAGGCAGTTGTTACTGTACGAGAACTGTGTGATGATTTAGTAACGTTGATCTGCTTTTGTGTGGGACAACTGACCTGCACCAGACGTGTTGCATTGGGCTGCAGACTCTCGCCATCATCGAGATACAGATCACCACTGGCCGCACTGTTGCTGTCGAGCGCGACCAAGAGGCTATAAGGCGTCTTTCTCGTCTCAGCCGTCGTTAGTTTGGGCTCCTGCAGTACAAGGACGGCCCCACCTCGCACGTGCACATTGATGTGCTCGAGCGGTGCCTGCAAAGTCACGTTCTCGCCTGGCTCAGCGTCAACTTCAGTAAGAGTGTACCAATCGTACCAACGCTCGCCTGAGCCAACACCGGGGAACACGCCCTGCACGGTCTCGACGTTCGGTACTAGTACAGGGGTGACAAGAATGGAAGGACCGAGCATAAACTGGTTGTACGTCTCGCGCAGAGACTCATCGTTCGGGAACTCCCAAGCAAGCGCGCGCATAACAGTCTCGCCCTTGGTGTGAGCATGGTAGAAGAGTGTGTACATGTATCCAAGAAGGCTGTATCTCACAGCCATAGCGCGGCGTGCAGATTCTGCGACCGAAGACCAGCGGTATGCTTCTTGGCCAATAGTGGCCTTGACGTTGTGGTTACGGTAGAAGGGGAAGAACGCACTGAGCTCCATCCAGCGAGAGCAGAGCTGGAAGTCAGTGTTGCGAGCAAAACCGCAAGTGTCGGCTCCGAACATGGGGATACCGGACATCATCATGGTGAAAGCTTGCGAGATCGACAAGAACATACTGCCCCAAGTACTTGTGTTGTCGCCTCCCCAATGACTGGTGGTTTTACCACTGCCGGCAAAGACACTGCGTCCGACAGTGAAAGGCCTACGCCCAGGGAAAAGTTCAAGCAGCGAATGGTAAGTTGCGTTCGAGATCTGCAGACCAAACAGGTTGTGCATCTCATACTCAGTCGTGTTATATTGGTCGTTGTGCGTTGCGTTAGGAGCGATCGAGCTCTTACCGAGCGCATGACCCGCTTGCACGTTGCTAATGACGTAAGGTGGGTAGTTGAGGTTGCGTACACCAGGGGTTGGCTCAGTCCTGCCTTGAGTGGTGGTGGTAGCAGGCGGAAGGACAGGAGAGACGGAGGCCGCTGAAGCCTGCGATGCCGAGGCAGCAGCAGCAGAAGCAGCTTCAGTTGCGTTGGTGATGTTGAATCCTTCGGGATAGTTGAAGTCAAAGGTGAGTGGGTCGCCGGGCAGGAGGAAAGGTGGGTGCACAGGGTTCTCGGTGAGACGATCGTTACCACATGAACCTGCACAGAAAGACGCAGCCTCACTCAAATCAATCCAGATGCCATCGAAGGGAGTACCCTTATGCCACTGGACGATTTCATTGGTCCACCATCTCTGAGAAGACGGGAGAAGCCAGTCCGCCCAAACGCTAAAGCCTGGCCAGTTGTCTCCGTAGTAGTAAGATCCTGAAATAGAGAGTTAAAAAAAAGTATTAGATGCCAAGTTCGGAGGACGAACTTACCAGTAGTAGGGTCTCGGATGTAGGTTTCTAGATGTGCACCATTCTCGAAGGGCGCATACGTGTCACTAGCATTGTTGGGGTTTGAGACGTAAATGTTGCTGTCGATAATAGGGACGTAATACTGGCCGTTAGCGTGCAACCGCTCGATGAAGTTAGTGAATGCTGGCAGAGGATATGTGGCCTCGTTATTGGTGAAGTCGCGATATAGGTCGTAGATATCGAGATCGTTCCACAAGCACTCTAGAGGAATATTGGCCTCCCGGTAACCGTCAACGACGCCTTGGACTACGGAGATGTTCTCGTAGCCCCAACGAGCTTGATGATAGCCAAAAGTCCAGTACATCTTGCAGTAATTAGCCAATTCAGACGTGTCAGGCTTGGGGTTCACTAACCTGCATAGCTGGAAGGCCGATACATCCAGCCTGGAATTGGGCGATGGTTGTCAGAGCACTCGAACTTTTATCTTCCTTTTGACCACTGAGGAAGTAGAGATCGAAGCTGCCACCCAAAGTGCGGTAAGCGATGGTGTTCTCACGAAGCAACCATTCCTGGCCGTGAGCTGGAGCGAGTCAATATCCGGTCATTGCATTTGTCCCAGTTCAACATACCATTGCGGGCATACATGCCGTGAGCAGTGGTCGCGGAACCGTTTTGTCCGTAGCGGGTTTCTTGATAGAAGGGAATTACTCCATATACATTGCGGTCGACAGTATTACCAGCGTCCACAGCGTAGAACGTTTGGGTGTGGTTAGTGCCCAAACGGAAGTCATGAACATTCTCTGCAAGACCGTAGACGTTGTAATCCTGGCATGAAGCTATTAATCACAAGTTGTTTCTAACCGTCTTCGCTTACTTACATCGACCATGTTTGTCACAATCTCAATGAACTGATCCTCATAAACAATAACATGTCCGTATGTCGAGAAAAGTTCCTCTCCAGTATGGACACGTGAGATCCTGAACTGGAAGGTAGGATCATTACTCCACTCGAGGCTAAGATCACTGCTGTTCAATGTAGTCTTGCCATCCCACTCAGGCTGATCAACCAGGGAAGCTGGAAGAATGTATTGCGTGCTGTTCGCTGGTGCGATGTGCTTGGGGTAGATGCGAACATTAAGGCGCTCCTTGGCCTGGTAAGACACTTCGAGGGTCAAATCGGCGATGTCGTTGCCGAATGCCTGACAATTGACCCCAGCAATAGTCAAGTCAGCAGTGAAACCGTGGCCATTGTCAGCCAGATTGGACGCTTTATAACCGGGACATGCTTGAGAGTCTGGCGCGCTATCGTCATAGATTGTTGGCGTCAGGCTGGGAAGAGCATTGATCTGAGGAGCAAGAGTTGGTATAACTCGCGTTGTCCCTGACGCCGCAATGCTTTGACCTTGTTGCTTCAATGTCAGAAGTGCAGCTGGATGAATGGCGGAAGCAGACTCACCAAATGCAAGGCCAGCGAGCGCAGCTGCTGAAACAGCAACATTGACGAACCTCATGATGACTTCGAGAGTGAAGGCTTAGCTGTCAAACTTCGGATGCTTGGTGAGTCTTTTACCAGACCACAAGCTCCTATTTAAGCTCCCATATTTGAGCCACCGTACCACGACAACTTGCGGGGTAACACAAAAACTTCAAGCTTGAGCATCCCCATAGCATCATAAGTCGCTTGCAGCTGTAACGGAGTCCAATCCGGGGACGACAGCAGGAAGCTTTTCAGATTGACAAGTACCGTTCACGATGCGATCCAGACGCCATGTGAGCCGGCGTGGCCAATTGCGGGGCCAGCTGGGATGTGGATACGGCTTTGACATCACCATTGAAGGTCCGAAAATTCTACCGATGCTTGATGAGCAAACCACGTAGGACTTAGCCTCAACCTTGAGTCTGGAGATGCCATTAGATGGTAGACGGGCCGTCATTACGTCAATCAGACTTCAACCCCGGTTGTGGAATAAAGATTGTTGAGGCTAGTTGCAGGTGCGGGCGCTCCAGAAAGACGGGAGCTGCGTTCGAAGTGCATTTGTGCATGAAAACCATGTTTTGAGCACGCAGCGAACATGAGCGGATCAAGCTCGAGAAGCATCGTGTTGTTGTGACGGACCGAGTCGCGTGCTATGGGTCGTTCGCGAAATACCGTGCCACCCCTCGCGACTTAGCGCGATTGTGACGCTAGATCTAGTTTGTCACCAAATCGTAGTACAAACAGCATCTCATCACATTCTGCATCCACGGAAAAGCTCTGAAGAAGCTGGGATAGCTTATTTTGGCGTCTCGGAAAAACGAACCCCAGCAAGTCCAGTACCGTGTTTTGGCAGTCCGTGCGCGCCATTCCTAAATGCGCTGAGACGCGTAATGCGGCCATTATTCTTAATACAACAGCTTCACAACACAACAGGATTAAGAGGAGCTATTGCAGAGTGTGATATTTTTGCAACTAAAGATCAAATTCTATAGGTAAAAAATAGCAGAAAAGCATAGAGCTGTGCGCTCGACTTTGACACGCAAATACCGAGGCCAGACGCGTTCGCAAGAAGAATCAGGTTTAACACGCCGCAACCTACGACCACAGGAGAAGGATGAGCTTATAAAGTACATACAGTAGCTTACAGAGGCTCACTTACAACAAAGAAGAGAGATGATTCAAAATTACCCCTCCGATATTGCCAAAAAAGGAATATTCAAAACAAAAACGCTTCTCTATTAGCTGGGTTGATCACTTTGTCCAGAGGCATGCCAACGAGCCCACGCCCCGATGGTCAACGTCTATGGACTGCCAACATCGCGCCGCCGATTCTAGTGCAAAGTGCACGCGATACTTCGAGCTACTGACGGAGAAAATAGAGTATTACAAGGTTGAGCCGGAGCACACATACAATATGGATGAGAAGGGCTTTATGCTTGTAGTTGTTGGCTGCTCAAAAAGGAGCTTCAGTAGAGTTTCATATGAGGATCAGAAGGTTAGGAGTACTATGCAAGACGGCTCTCGCGAGTGGATTTCGCTTACAGCCTGCGTCTGCGCGGATGGATCTCATCTTGATCCTGATGTCCATCAGGCTCATATATCCTAATCCCCTTCTGGCTGGGCGAACAATGAGATTGGCCTAGCGTGGCTCAAACAGGTGTTTGATCGCAGTACAAAGGCGAAGGAACGATCAAGCTATCGATTACTGATTCTAGATGGGCATAGATCTCACCTCACAATGGACTTTATTGACTACTGTGATCAGAATAGGATCCTCTTTGCCGTATATCCCCCTCATTCAACCCATACGCTGCAGCCGCTCGACCTCAACACAGCACTGCGAGTTTTGACGGATCACGCGGGTGGACTATTTTTCAGTGTCCTATAGTCGTATGCAGAAGTAAGCGGTGCGTCAATCGTCTTATGAAGCCAGAGCATGGAAAAGCTGCCACTTGGTAATGATAACATACTTATGTGGCGGCAACGACCTGCTCCGCTACGTGCCGGCACAACTCGACGGTTGGCTGTTTCTTCAATATCACGAACACGGGGACCTCGACTCCGAATTGCTTGAGGAACCAGTATCGCAGCTCAACCGCAATGAGCGAGTCAACACCAAGCACATACGCCGGCTTGCCGACATCCAGACTCTCGGCCGGCACCGACAGCGACTTGCCTAATTTCCCGAGCAACGCCATGGTAACAATATGCGTAGCCTCTTCAGCATCAGCCGCCGCTCTGATGAGGGCCAGGTAGTCGACCGCTGTCGCATCGCGTCCGCTGCCACCTCCAGTGCTGTTGACCAGCTCGACTTGTCCCAGACGAAGGAGGTTCTTGAACAACGGCTTGCCTACCCAGTGCAACACGCCATCCTGGAACATACGATACAGCTTCGCAGGCTTATCATGGATGTTCACCACCTGCGCTGCTGCGCCCGCACAGTCATACGATGGATCGCACAGGACGTCCAGAATCGCCATCAGCTGCTTCTGCGTCAAGCCGCCCAGTCCAGCACGCAAGCTCTTTGTCACGTCCTCGAAGTTGTCGCTCGCCCATCCAGCCTCTAGAACCAAGCCGAGATCGAACGAGACGCCCTTGAGCCCGCTCGCGGCGCGGTGACGTGCAAGCGCGTCTTCGAATGTGTTACCTGCAGCGTAGTTGGCTTGTGCGGGGTTGCCGATGATACCGCTCATGGAAGAGAGGAAGACCATGAAGTCCATATCCTTTGGCAGGAGCTCATGGAGGTTCCAAGAGCCTTGGTACTTGGGTGCCAGGGCACGGTGGAATTGCTCAGCAGTCATGTTTGAAAGCATGTTGTCTGACAACACCATGGCTGCCTGGATGCATCCTTTGATCGGGGGTAGTGTCTTGCTAGCCTCCTCTAGCGTCGCCTGCAGGACAGCGCGATTGGAGATATCTGATGCCGGAGCGTGGATCTCGACTCCCTGAGCTTCCATCTCTTTGATGAAGGCGATGACATCAGTGCGCCCGGCTACACCTCGGGATGAGGTGACGAGGAAATGCCGCGCGCCGCGAAAGGCCATCCAGCGCATGATCTCGCGCCCTAACCCGCCCAATCCACCACTGATAACATAAGTGGCCTGCGCGTCAAATCCATACGAAGGCGTTCGCGCAGGTTGATATACCACCACATCACCAGATGTCTCAAAGTCGATGACCGCTTTTCCAGCAATCTTACCACCCTGCAATGCACGCATCGCCTCCTCGATCTTACTCGGGGGAAATGCATGCAGCGGTTTGGGGTTATGAAGCTCAGGATGCGCCGCAAACAGGCTAAACACATCGTCGAGTACGAGTTGCATCAGTGGTTTGTTCTCGGCGTACATTCCCGCAACATCCACGGCTGCAAAGGTGACGTTGCGCAAGAAATGGCCCATCTCAAGTGTGTTGTTGGCAAGTATGTCGGCTTTGCCGATGTCGATGAAGCGGCCAAAGGGCGCAGTGCAGCGCCATGAATGTTGAAGGAGTTCTCCGCCGAGAGAGTTGAGGACGACATCGACACCACGGTTGTTTGTGGCGTGGAACACATCATCGACAAAGCTGGCCTCTCTGCTGTGGAAGATGTGGTCATCAGCGAGCCCGTAAAGCCTCTTCACTAACTCGCGCTTCCATTTGCTTCCTACCGTGACGAAGACGTTCGCCCCGCGAAGTTGCGCGAGCTGAATAGCAGCTTGGCCTACAGCACCAGCACCAGCACCAGCGTGGATCAAGACGCTCTCGCCCTTGCGTAGCCGGCCTACGTAATCGAATGCATACACAACTGTAGCCCATACAGCAGGAATAGCAGCCGCGTCCAAGAATGGAATATCGTCGCGGGGGATCTTGCGCGTCGACGCCTCGTCGCAGCGGACATAAGTCCCACAGCAACCACCTGTCGAGAAGATGAAGTACATGACGCGGTCGCCAGGTTGCAAAGTACAGTTTGGCCCGACACGTTTGACGGTACCAGATCCTTCAAGACCGAGGCCATCACCAGGAACTTGGCCTAAAGAAATCATTACATCGCGGAAGTTGAGGGAGGCGGCTGCTACTTCAATCTCGATCTCGCCGGATTGCAGCTCGTTGCTAGGGGCTGGAACTTCAGTGTAGTAGAGAGTGTCGAGGAGACCAGGCTGCTGGATGGTCAACTTTATGCGCGGTTTGAGATCAGCTTGCCCGAGCGTGAATGTGAGTTTGTCGGGCAGTTTCGCGCGCTCGGCGAGAGTGTGATTGACGCTCTTCTGTGGGACGACACGCGGAATATGTATAAGGCCGTTCTTTACTGCGTACTCGGACTCAGCGTCTGCGCTCTTCCCTCCTCCTATCTTGTGCAAGTGCTCGATGAGACGGAGTACATGGCTCGTCCCCTCAGTCGAATCGTCCGTCTCTAAGCTTAAGATTACGAAGGCCTGATCACCTCGCTCAGAGCAGATACTTCTCGAGAAGCCGACTGCCATCTCGGCGGCAGGGTTGCTGGCACCGGGACTGCCACCGCGTGTGACCCAGAGGACGGTCTTAGCATCCAAGCTAATCTTCTTGAGAGCCTCAAACTGCCGCCCTGCGATAGTGCCCAGGAGGGAAGTGTCTAGCTCGAGCAAGCTAATGACATTCGTGTTGCTTAGCTCCAGCCCAGCAGCAACAAGGCCGTCGAGTGTGTATGTCTCGGTCTCTCCGATCCATGATACAGCGGCCAGCCTTGATCTCAGCACATCGGCGTATGCAGACTTCGTGGGATCTGTGACGATAACCCAGCTCTCGCGTGCGGCTTCAACCTTCACCTCTTCTGGTCTTGTGGTGACGAGCGTTGAGACGCGGTGACGAGGTTTGTACTCGTTGTCTCTAAATACCATATCCACGCCTGAGAAGCCTGCCGTCTTCAGTGCAGCGTCCCATCCATCTTCAGTAAGAATAGGTCCCAGCGCCTCATCTTCTCCTGGTACGGCGTCAACATCCTCACCCTCCCACCAATGGCCCTCGCGCATCCACCATCCGGGTAGCAAGCCGAAGATGATGCCGTCGCGGATGTTGTCAACAGTAGTCTCCATCATGATCAGTTTGCCGCCTGGGCGCAAGAGTGCAAGGAGATCGCGGAGGCACTTCATAAGATCCGATGTAGTGTGGACGACGTTGCAAGCCATGATCACATCGTAGCTGCCGAGCTCAAAACCTTGTAGAGAGGGATCGATCTCCAGGTCAAGCTTGGCGAAGCGCATGTGCTTTTCGGCAAAGTCGAATTTCTCGCGCGCCTTCTCGAAGAAACCGACTGAGACGTCTGTGTAAGCATACTCACCGAAACGCACAAGCTGATCGCCTTGGAGACCTTCAGTGTCGACCAAGAACGGTAGGACCTTGGACGTGGCACTGCCTGTTCCTGAACCAACCTCGCAAATTCTGAGCTGAGGATTTGCGTGTGCCAGGATGCTCATGTATGCGCCAGCTTTGCGGTAATGGCGTGAGTAAAAGTCGCAGTGATAGAAGTCATTGGCAAGATTGCCCTCAAATATGATCTGTAACGCGTTATCTGTCCCGGCCAGAATACCGTAAAGATGTTCGCCCGCTTTCTTCACCAGCTTCTGTGTTGGCTCATCATCTGCCTCGCGCAAGACATCTTCGATATTCAAATGACCTAGCCCCCGTGACTCCAACGTATATTTCTCCCTGTTCGCGCGGACCTTGCGCAGGAAGTCTACGTATTTGGTTAAGTGGTTGTCAAACTCCACTGGTTCGCCGTTCTCAATCTTTTCTAGTGCTTGCTCGATGAAATACAATGCGATAGCATCTGCGCGGTCGACAGCCTCGGCGTCCTTAGGGTCTGGTGAGAATTGTGGGTCGCGCGCGAAGAGCGCCTTGAGATAGTCCTCCGTCTCCTTTTTGCTAAGCAGCGAGAGGTCAGGCTTGAAGTCAATGCCGTACGAAAAGCGACTGGCGCCGTCGTCGTCATCGCGAGTGCTGCTACCTGCGCCAGCAATCACGGTTCCACGCTCACCTCTTGCCACAATGACCGGCTCACCAGTCTCAGCAAGGAGGGTGCTAGCATCCCACTCAAACTCTCTAAATGTGCGAGCGACTTCCTTTGTTGCAACGTGCAGCAGTGGATTGCCAGGCACTGTGAATAACTTGTGCGAAACCCAAAGCTCCTTGAGATTGCTGAACATGAGTGTTGGAATGGCCTCCCACCCGCCCATGCTCAACGAGACAAAGCCAACGTGGAATACCGAGTCAAACGTTGTAGGATGAATCACACATGGATCCTCCTGGGCGTATGGCATATTCTTCGCATAATCCCGCAGCGCAAGAGTACCCGACGCACACCCGTTGCGGGAGTACTTGATATCTCGCAAGCCCTGGAAATATGGCCCGTAGTCAAATCCAGACTTCTTGCTCAGGTTTTCATACAGCTGCCCGCTCTGTACACTCAACGTGCACTGCTTTGCCGCGGTTGCGTGCTCCTCGCTCACGGCGCTTGTCCACCTAGCTTTGCGTGCGACTGTCTCGGGCGAGGCCTCCGCATCCTCAAGTTCAACACGAATGCTGCCAAAAGCACACTCAATCCACTCGTCGCCTCCGAGCGTAAACACCCGCCAGTCGTATACGCCTTGAGCAGCGTCTTTGGCTGTATGTCGACGCGGCTGGAGGTAGATTTTCGCCTCAGTGCCCTTTTCCGTCTCATTCACCGGAACAGAGCGCATGAACCGCACGTTTTCGAGCTTGTACCCACTGATTGCCGCGTTGGGTGGGAGAAGTTGCCGTGCGGCCTCAATGGCCATTACGAGCATGCCTGTGCCAGGGTAGAGAGGCGAGCCTTCGAGCGCATGGTCAACAATCCAAGGAGCTTCGGCGAGACGAATCTTGTGGTGCCATGTTGGTTGCTGGGGATTGAAGTCGTTCTCCCGTAGACCTAGGAGGGCGTGCCTCCGGAAAGGTCGTTGCGAGTAGAGGGCACTGATGCGGGGTTCCTCCCAGTAGAGCTTGGCCCTGGAAAAGGGGTAGGCTGGAAGGTCTGTTACTCGTTTTGGCTGGGTCATGGGCTTCAGAGTGGCTTGGTTGGGAATGTTGAGATCGATGGGTAGACCGGCGCTCCAAAGGGCACCGATGGTTTCGAGGAGAGACTGGATGTCGGGTTGACGAGGGTTAAGCACAGCTGCATATGTCCACTTATCCTGGCCTTCACCAAGGTGCGCAAGGATATCTTTGACTGGCCGTCGAAGAGCAGATTGAGGGCCGATCTCAACAAGGAATTTGGTAGCTTGCTTGCGCTCGCTTATCAGCGCTGTTACAGCGTCGGTGAAGAGAACTGGTGATAGAAGGTTCTTCACCCAGTAGCTTGGTCTTGCAAGACCCTCCAACGTGATGAAACTGCCTTCGGTGGACGAGAAGAATGCGACAGTGCTCGGCGCTTTGCTGCCTTTTGCTGGAGCGCATATACCGGCCAGCAAGCCCTCATATTCCCCTGCAACATCCCGCAGCGCCTCGGAGTGATACCCGATTGTCACAGGCAGCTTCCGTACGAAAACCTCCTCGGCCTCTAGCGCCTCACACAAGCGTGCAATTGCCACGACGGGACCCGACAATGTGACGTTGACAGGGCTGTTCTCACACGCGACCGTCACCGATGGCTCAGCCTTTAGATACGGCTCAACAGCCTCTTTACCCAAGCCCACCGACATCATCGTGGTCTTCTCACTCGCTTGGTCAGAAGCCAGCTTGTCGGCCACAACACCACGGAAGTAAGCCACCCGCCATGCACTCTCACGATCTAGTCCGCCTGCACAGTATGCAGCCGCGACCTCACCAGACGAATGCCCAACTACAGCGCGAGGAACAATGCCCCACGTGCGCAGCAGATCTACAAGAGCAATTTGTATGGCGGTACAGAGGGGCTGCGATAGTGCCGGTTTGCTGACTTTGCTTACGTCCTTGTCCTTCTCAAGTTCTTCTAGCACAGACCACGTGCTTCCCAGGGTTTTGAGATAATCGTCGCAATCAGTGAGACTTTGGCGAAAGATGGAATAGTGCAGAAGACCGATAGCCATGCGCGCGTATTGCGCGCCTTGTCCCGTGAAGACGAATGAGAGATCGGGGGCGGAAGAGGTGCTGCTGAATATGCTCGGCGAAAGGAGGGCTGTGAGATCGTCGGTAAGGGAGGAGACAATGGCGAAGGAACGGTAGCTGAGTAGAGATCGGTGCGAGGAGAGGGTATAGGTCAGGTCTGAGAGGTAATCTGGGGCGTGGGGGGTATCGCGTGACAAGAGGAAGTCTTGGAGGGTCGCTGCTTGGCGCGTCGTGCCGTCGCTGTCTGCTGCTGAGAAAGGGATGATGGCGAACGGGGTTGCGGATGGGATGGTGCCGTTGCCGTTGGTATGTCCGTTGTTATGTCCGTTTGTGCATCCGTTGGTGTGTCCATTGGTAGCTGTGGGCTCGCCAATTGATTGATGCAGGCCACTCAAGCCGTGACTGCGCAGGTAGTTGCATGCGTCGTCGAGGATCACATGGGCGTTGCTCCCTCCATATCCGAAGGAGCTCACGGATGCCCTACGGATGTCCGTTTGCGGCCATGGCACTGGTCCCTTCGGAAAGGCAAGCTGCAAATACTCTGTGTCAATAGCAGGATTCGTCTTTTCGAACATGGCGATGGGCGGAATCACAGCCTTCTCCAGCGCGAGAACGGCTTTGATCACACCAGCCATACCCGAAGCGCCCTCCAAGTGACCAATATTGGATTTTACTGAACCAACATACAGTGGTCTATCAGACTTGCGACCATCGCGGAAAGCCTCTCCTATAGCGGCCGCTTCGATGGGGTCGCCAACCGGTGTCCCGGTGCCGTGAGCCTCAACATAGTCCGTATCAGCAACATCAAGGCCTGCAACACGATATGTGTCTCGCAACAGATCAAGCTGCGCCTGCTGACTCGGCTGTGTGATACTGGGTGTTCGACCATCTTGATTCGCACCCGTGGCCCGGATCACTGCCCTGATAACGTCTTTATCTCTTATGGCGGCTTCCAGCGGTTTGAGCAAGACGAAACCAAATCCTTCGCCTCTTGCATAACCATTCGCCTTCTCATCGAAGCTATAACTCTTTCCGTCAACGCTTAGGAATCCGCCGTTGCTGAGCGCAAGTGCTTGGCTCTCGGGTGTAATAAATGTATTCGCGCCGCAGACAAGCGACATGGCGCTCTCACCAGCGAGAATACTCTGCACGCCGAGATGCAAGGCATATAATCCCGATGAGCAGGCTGTATCAACCGTAAGAGATGGCCCCGCTAGATCGAAGAAATGGCTGACACGGTTGCTCAGCATGGATGAGCCATTGGCAGTGGCGTGATAACGCGATTGTGCGGCAAAGTCGCGTCCAGTTATTGTTTCGCCATCTCGGGAGAAAGATGCACAGTAGACCGATGTGGGAGATCGAGACAGTGTTTCCATGGGTATACCCGCGTTTTCGAATGTGCGGTAGGCGCCCTCAAGAAGACCACGCTGCTGCGGATCTAGAACTGATGCCTCTGCGTATGACATGTTGAAAAAGGGTGCGTCGAAACTCCGGGGGTCTTCTTCCATGAAATGTGCATGGCGGATGCGTAACTACCGGAGTCAGCTTGGTTGGTCTTCAGATGTCAGAAATCGTCGTTTGGACTTACACTGTCTAACCGATTCGGGTCGGGATGGTAGAAAGCATCTATGTTGAATCTATCAGACGGTATCTCTTTTGATACGTTCCTCGCGCTCATCAGTAGCTCCCAGAAGGCTTGTGCAGATACTGCATCGCCCGGGAACTTCATGTTCATGCCAATGATGGCTATGGGAGTCGTCCTGTCCGTAGCCATGGTTGCGATATGCAGTATGTGACTCGCTGAATCCAATTGCTTCCAGGTGTTATGTTAAAGTTTGCGGAGCGCTGTTCGAGACAGTAACGGACGCAAGGAGATCTGGAGTATCAATAAAGTTGATCTGTTACACGAACATCAACGAATCTATACTAAATACCTAGGTAGACTTGACGACTGGCCGAGAACTACACGCCAGCCTCGCATCAACATCTGGTTGAGTAGACACACCGAGCTGATTCCTGAATAGTGTCAGGGCCAAAGCGTTTCTACTTCATCCAGAAGGTTGAGTAAGCCCGAGCTGTTAGCTTACGGTGATACTGTGAGAGCCGCATCTGCAAATACGACGCTACAGGCACCCCATGTTACAAGTCGAACGGTTTCTTCCATGAGTAAACGGTCAAGTAGGCCCGAGTCATTAGCCTACGGTGATACTTGGAGGGCCACGTGTAGTAAAGGATGCAGGCACCCCATGTTGTTGCCTGGCTTCGGGTCTTTTTGGCTCGGGGTGTTTGAGACGACAGAAGACGAGAGGACTAGTCGATGAAAGTTGCCTTGCTGTTAGTTGCAGCGGTGATTAGATAACCGTGCGGCTGATGACAAGCTTCACCGTATAGGTTAGCGCGTGGCTCGGGCTCGTGCCGAGCCACGTAAGAACTTCAGAAAATCCGAGAGACGCTCCGATGCGCCAGCTGCACCTTCTTGTCTTCGTGCTCGTGCCGTGAAGACCCGATTACGACTACTCTAGGCTGATTGATTATGTGATGGCGCTGGTTTACCGGCAGCGTCGGAAGTGGTGATCCGGGGGCGTTCGCGGTGGTGAGTGCCATGACCGCGAATACGCGCCAGCTCGAAATTCGGCTTCTTCAATCTACCCGGACTCACCTCGGACTGTTATCGTAGAAGTACTTGGAAAGTCTAGTGCCAGAGCCAGGCTATGTGATACGTGCTTATGCCGTCTTTTTGCAGTCTGGAGTTTTTGACTTCCTACGGGACAACAAGCAGTAGCGGTCCAGATCTGGAAACTCACTCACGCCCAATGCTCACCGTTTCTCATCAAACACAACCTACCGCTTCCTTCTCTTTGATGGAAACTTCCAGCTAGAAAGCAGGCAACTTCGAACATGAGCATTCTAACATCCTTGGACACTGACTCCTCAAAACTTCTTCTTTACGGCATTGTCACGATCATATTCCTCTCAGTTCTGAGGACCGGATTGCACAATGGCAAGAAGTCTAAGTCATCGATTCCGCATGCTCCGCGCATTCCGTACAAACTTCCTTTCGGACTGGATATGGCTTGGAAACTCGTAACACGTCTACATTCGAACACATTCGTTGAATACGTATGCGAGGAAGTCCTCAATACTCCTGGTCGCACTATCGAGATGAATCTACTAGGGGGTGATATTTTCATCACCGATAGAGCGGAGAACATCAAGGCTATCCAAGCAGATCAGTTCGCGGACTTTGCTAAAGGGCAGACGCCACATGATGTGTTCAGTAGTATATTGGGAGACTCCGTCTTCACAAGTGAGTGCGATCTCGGACACTGCATAATACAGCTGTTGACGTCATTTTAGCGGATGGACCTTTGTGGAAGACGAGCAGGGAGCAGTTAGAGCCGCATGTCTCCCGCGTTCGTCCAGACGACATACCTGTAGCTGAGGAACACATGCAGAAGCTTCTCAAACTGATCAAAAGCTCGCCTGTGAGGGTCGATGTGTACGATGTGGTCGACAGGTTCCAACTCGATCTCGTGAGCCAAGTTTTCCTTGGGGAATCCACAAACTCACTATCAGCGAACCAACAGCCTTTCCGTAAAGCCACGGAAGATCTGCTGACCTACAATACCAATCGTCTACTTTTTGGCCGCCTTGCAAACTTGTTTCCTGACTGGCTCTTTGCACCCAAGGCATATCGCGAATTGACGCGTTACATCAACGACCTCATCGAAAAGACGCTGGCTCTGCCGATCAACAACCAGACAGATCTCAAGACGGAGAAAGAGTTTAATCTTGTCGAAGATCTGGTCGCCACGCATCCGAACGATCGATATTTCATAAGAGGCCAGCTCATAGCAGTCCTGATGGCTTCCAAGGACCCGGGTGCTATCCTCTCCACGTGGACCATATACCATCTGGCCCGCGATCCAGCATTGTGGAAAAGACTTCAGCAGGAGATTGAAGTGCATATCGGCATGGATGCAATTCCTACAACAGCTCAACTAAGGAAATTATATCTCCTAGCCAACACAGTCAAAGAGTCCATGAGAATGTACCACCCACTCGGCCTCAACATTCGGGAGGCCAGAAGTGATGCGGTTCTGCCCGTCGGCGGCGGCCCAGATGGGAGAGATCCAGTATCGGTTTCAAAAGGACAAATCATTGTTTACTCAGTCGCTGGCCTCCAGCGCAACAAAGCTAAGGTCGGCGCAGATGCCGATGTGTGGGATCCTTCTCGATGGGACACTTGGTCGCCAAAGTACGGCGACTACCTACCCTTTAGCATCGGGCCACGTCAATGCCCTGGGAGAGTCTTTGGTCGATTCCAGATTCAGTATATCCTGGTGCGACTTCTTCAAGAGTTTGAGAGGATTGAGTGGTGTGGACTTGGCGGTGATGGAGACAAAGGCACGGAAGAGATGAAGATCAAGGTCGAGCTTAACCTTAAGCCAGCTGAGGCCGTAGTTTGCAACTTCGTGCCGCGTTGCAAGAATACTGCTTAGCGCTGAGATTGAAAGATTTGCAGACGTTTTGGGCGATCAGAGACTGTGATGAATATATCCGACTAGCATGCAAGACATGATATCCTCATACTCCTTATACCATGCTGGATTCAAATTCCTACTGACGCTGGATCGCGCCAGTATCTGGAATCTAGGCTACGTCCTTGTTGTCCCGGTCTGCAGGTTATCTAGGCGTGCATTTCCCCAGACGTTCCGATTCCGATCGGAACTTCCGGTTCAGGGTCCGCACTAACTCAGGTACCCACAGCCTGACTCGCAAGCCACCGTTAGCATGAGTCCTAGGATATCCAGCGGTGTAATGCAAGAAATCTACCGAATGTCCGACATAGTGCCACAGACCACTGCTGACTACCACCGAAACTAAGCTCTTAGTCTGACGGGCATTCTTGGTCGTCAACAAGTTGAAAAGACAACATCCGTTTATCCAACAACCTGGGTACCCAGGCTGTATCGCGCATAGGTGGTGGAGCAATGCGGGTGGCTTACGACCTGAAAGTAGGCCGGTTGTGGAAAACGCCGAACAGACATGCGACATCGTACTCGGTTGAATCGTCGTTCAGTCATTCATCTTCGCGGAATAATCCTTGGTCCACATTGGTACCGGATACCGACAACTTCCGCATATCGTACATCGTATACGCAAGACGTTGCTCACGGATGAGCATTACCGCACCGCGAATACGAGTGGCCGATTACTAGACACCTACTAAGCAGATATACCCACCAATCCCATGCTTGGATTGGTATCAACATACTTTCCTTACGCTTATCGAACAGTTATTCGCAACAGTAGTGCTTCCATATACGCGCGATGGGCACCGCAACAATATGGTTCGTTCAAAGGGTCGCCAGATATGACGAGCTATCTTCGATATGGATGATTATGGGAGTAACTATATGCGTGGTAAAGAACCCAAGTGAACACCACGCAAGACACAAGTCCACTAATCTGTGTTAAAGGCCTTGGTGTATACTCTCTGGACTGTTGTCTACAACCTTTACCTCAATCCACTTAAGCAAGTACCTGGTCCTTTTCTGTGGTCTATCTCGTCTACACCACTTTTCCTGGCATCCGTTTCTGATACGCCACATAAACAAATCCTCGCGTTACATCAGAAGTATGGCGGGGTCGTCCGCACAAGTCCAAACTCCGTGTCATGTCTCCACGCAACAGCATGGAAGGAGGTTTACGGACACCGTAAGCCCGGTCAGCCGGAAAACCTCAAGCATCCAGGCTTCGTGGCTGAAGTCGCATCAGGCATCATCGGGGCCGACACAAAAACTCATACATACCAACGTCAACTGATAGCCCCAGGATTCTCGGCCCAGGGGATGCAGCGTCAAGAGCACATTATTCAGCACCATGTCAACAACCTCTTCAGCTGCTTTGAAGAACACTATGCTAAGGGAAGACCCCTCGATCTGGCCAAGTGGTTCAACTATTTCTCGTTTGACATCATTGGCGATCTCAGCTTCGGCGAGTCCTTTGGGAACCTGGAGCGGGGAGACTTCCACCCGTGGATTGCGACGATCTTAGAGTTCTTCGTTGCGCAGCATGATATGGCGCATTTTCGGCGGGCATATCCGTTGTTGGAGGCGATGGTGGGCCCTCTTGTTAAGGTCCTTGCTGCGAAGATCATCCTGAAGCATAACACGTTCATGCGTACCCAGGTCGCGAAACGTTTGGCTTTGGAGCCTACTCGACCAGACTTCATTGATGGTATGAAGTCTGATCATGCTAAGGGGAAAGAAGGCCTTTCCTTTGAAGCAATCTGTCATAACGCGAGCATCTTCGTCGTGGCTGGATCGGAAACGACTGCACTCGCACTTACCGGCGCGACTTACCTACTCTGCACCCATCCAGAGGTGCTCACCAAGCTCAAAGAAGAGATTGACTCATCTTTTGATAGTGAACAACAGATCACTCTTCTCAGCGCGCAGCGACTCAAGTATCTTACAGCCGTCATAGATGAGACCCTGCGTATCTACCCAGCCGCTGTAGGCTCCGTGCCGCGACTGATCCAACGCCATGGCGAGGTCGTTGGTGGACACTTCCTTCCCGGAGGAACATGCGTGGATATATGGCATTGGGCAATGTATCATAACCCAGCTAACTTCACCGAGCCAGAGGTTTTTGCTCCTGAACGATGGCTTGGAGACCCTCGCTTTGAAGGCGATAAGAAAGTGGCGTTTCAGCCCTTCTCAACAGGAAAACGCAGCTGTATTGGTCAGAATCTTGCGCATTCTGAGATAAAGCAGATCATGGCCCGGCTGCTGTGGAAGTACGATATTGAGCTCGTAGATCGCGAGTGGTACGACAAGCCATGGCATGATCAACCCGTGCGCGCTTCTTACGTGCACCCGCCGTTGAATGTTAGATTTAGTCTTAGAACAGAGCAGTTGAGATAGATTCGTACAGTCAGCCAGGTAAAGATTACAATGCTATTGCAGCGTGGACGAAGGACGTAGCTCCGCTCGAAGATACTCGGGTGTGGATTCCGCGTACCGGAACGTTCCGATGCCGGTCGAAAACTCCGATGAACACCAACAGTTTTCGATCTTCTGACTAGAACTCATACATTAAGTCTTGTGAGACGTCCAGGGATGACAAAAGATTCCTGGTTTCGCTCAAAACCTTCTTCTGAAAATCCTCGCCGCGCTTTGAATACATCAAAACAGGGTATCTGGTATGATGTCAGCGAAGACTGGTCGAAACGCAGTCGAGTGGACCTTCACTTACGGGCGTACTCCCCACTCGCTCAAAAAGCCTCCATGACTTTCTCGCCCCGCGACTGCCACGGCATGAACGTATGTACTGGCACCCTCTTTCAAGCTCCTGCCAAACAGAGCAAAGTAAACTGAGAACATGTATCTCAAAACGATACTTGTGTTGATGGTGCGCCAGATCTCCGTATCTCCTACCAACCCCGGGCAAACCGTGTTGATAATCACCTCATCCGGGTTGATCAGCGTTGCCAGTCTTCTCAGAACAACCATCTGCAACAACTTCTCGCGGGCATACCACTTCGTAGGATCGTATTTCTCGTCAAACTGCGGCAAGATTGGTTTCTCGTGATTGAAATCCGCAAAATATGCGGTGGTAGATGTCACAACCGTAAGTCTAGCTGGCTTTCCACCCAGACCTCCTTTGGACCTTAGAGTCGGCAAGAGAAGCACAGCTAGCATGATTGTTGAGAGGTAGTTGACTTGGAAGGTCTGCTCTTTTCCTGTCTTGGTCGAGACAATACAGTCCTTATTCTGCACACCAGCATTGAGGATGACAATGTCAATCCTACCTAAAGTCTGACATTTCATGGCAAACGCAGAGACAGACTCGAAGTCTTCCATGTCTAGGATCCAGACCTCGACTTGAGCGATTGGAAACTCATTGCGGAGAGTTTCTGCCGCGGCATCGCCTTTGGCTTGAGACCGGACGGCTAGTATCAGCCGAGAGAGATCTAGCTGGAGAAGCTGCCGTGCTGCTTCGAGCCCTAGACCGGTATTTGATCCGGTGACTATGGCTGTCTGGCCGTCAAGTTTGACGTCTGCTGCGATTGGAGGAGGGTGCATGAACAATTGGCGGTATATGAAGCCTATGCCACTTTGGAAAATGAGGCGGCTGCGGATTGGGTCCCATGAAGACATGTTGACTGTCGTATCGATACTCAGAAGTGCTGTTCATGGTCCACTGTCGGAGTACCTTACAATATCAGTGACTTTGGTTGCAGCAATAAGCCCTAAACAATGAGGTGTCTCTATTTGTGGGTCGAAAAGGCCCTGCATCGTATTCGCAAGCCCTGCAGCAGTCGACTACCCCGGCGTTATCCTCTTTATCCAGATCTCAGAAAAGTAGAATCGTGGCCTGGCCAGAAAAGCTCTAGATTTTGTCGGTGAGCGCAAGAGCCACCGAATTTCCGCCTAGCTGAAGGACACCGAGTCGCATCCGGAAGTTCCCCAAAGCCACCGGATTACCGCCTAGCCAATCAAGTGGGTACCTTCCATGCTAGCGTGCGACTCGCATCGTGACATTCAAGGCATCGAAAGACAAGGCCGTTGGTAGTTATTTGTCTTTCTCTACCAGTTCGCTCGAAACCATGCCTGCACTCGTGGAGCTCCCTTTCAAAGGGCTAACCCTCATCGCCAAATGTGCTTTCCAGCCGATCATCACCGGGCCAATTCTCGGATTACTGCTGTGCACCCCAGAACAGACATGGGGAGACGCATTGGAAGCAGCGTCTTTCTCCGGAACCATCAACCCATCCAATCTAATTCGAACACTCGGTTTTCTGGTCACTGTGGGTGTGATGAGGGATATCAACACAGCGCTAAACGCGTGGGCTACAAATAACTGGCAGATACGCGCAGGACACGGTTGGAACTGGTCTTCTGAGATAGCAGTCGTTACCGGAGGATGCAGTGGAATCGGTAAAGCCATTGCGGAAACTCTGACGTCGCACGGGATCCGCGTAGCAGTGCTCGATGTGCAGGACGCACCCAATGCGTTCAAATCAAACAGCCTGCTAACATGCTTCCGATGCGACATCTCCAGCCCTACAGCAATAGCAGAGGTAGCCGACACGATTCGGAACGAACTGGGACGTCCCTCAATCCTCGTTAACAACGCCGGCATCACGGGTTCTCACACGATCTTGAAGACCCCAAGCGAGTTTCTCAGCCGTATCTTCGATGTAAATATTCTCTCGCACTGGCGGTTAGTCCAGCAGTTCGTCCCGGACATGGTGGCGAAGAACAAAGGCCATGTTGTGACGGTAGCGAGTGTGAACTCTTTTCTGACAAACTCGGCGAACGCTGACTATGTGGCGACCAAGACCGCTGCGTTGTCGTTCCACGAAGGTCTTACCAGTGAATTGAAGATCTGGTATAAAGCGTCGGGTGTCAAGACTACTATTGCACACCCAGCTTTCGTGCGCACTCCTTTAATCGAGGACATGATCTTGAAGAGTGGCCAGGATCCGAAGATTCTTGAGACTATGATGATGCCGGAGGAGGTCGCGGAGGTTATTGTCAGGCAGATTATTAAGAGACGCGGTGCGCAGCTTTTCATTCCTAGCTGGGGAGCGCCGATATCGTGGTTGAAAGGCTGGCCTAATTGGGCACAGGAGCTTGTACGGGATGCGTTCGGGAAAACCAGTGCTGTTACAGGTGGTTCGATGATCGCATACTGAATCTTGAGTCCAGTAAGCTTGTGTATTAGAGAATGAACACCGAATTAGTGCCGTGTAAGCTTCCCACTCGGAGCTGGTAAGTAGGTTAGCCTTGATTACCATGCATGCATTCTTGGCTTTGTAGACGTACGATATATATAACGTCTTCGCGCAGTCTCGCATGCCTCAAACCATCTTCACATTCTGTGTCCCTTCAATTTACTTAGACAACCAGTACTCAATCATGGCTTCCGAGTTTTCCCTAGCAGAGACGCCCATCGGCAGATACTTTGCGTCCATGGCTGAGATGGGAGTAATGCGCGTCTTCGTCGAGCACGGCATCTTCGATGCCATTCCAGATGAGGGTACCTCTCTCGAAGACCTTGCAACAAAGCTGAAAGTGGATTACAAACTCATCGAACGATTCGCGGCTTTCCTACTTTCCATCGGCGTGCTGACATCCCCGGCACCCGGACACGTGGCCCATTCACCCTCGTCAAAGGCCTTCACAGACCCGCGTGTCGCGCAATTCTACTCGTATCTCTTCGACTTCTTCATGGGGCCGACGACGCGTTGGACAGCCTATTTCGCAGAGAATGGGCTCGCCGAGCCGCCGAGATCGAATCGGTCGCCGGGTGGGTTCGCGCTGGGTATGCCTGACAAGACGGCGTACGAGATCATGGCGGCTATTCCAGGTTTAGCGACGAGGATGAATGGCGCGATGGCGATTGATGGCGATATCCCTGTCACGGGGGTATACGATTTCAGCTGGGTCGCTACGTATGCTGCAGGGGATGAGAAGAGGGTGCTTATTGTTGATGTTGCCGGTGGTAAAGGACAGGCGTTGAAAGACATTCTAGAGGAGACGCCAGCGATTCCCGCGGCCAGATGTGTTCTGCAGGATCAGCCGCATGTTATTGACGAGGCGGTCGCAGAGCACAAGGATTCCGCTGTTTTGGGACCAGTAAAGAAGGTTGGGTCCAGCATTTTCGGGGAACAACCTACCAAAGGTATAGAAATCGAGACTTCTCGCGATACATCATTTCGGGGATGAGCTGACCGAATGCTATAGGTGCCCTCGTGTACTATATACGTCGCGTTCTGAACGACTGGTCCGACCACGAAGCCCTTCAGATCCTGAAGAACGTGCGTGCGGCTTGCGCGGAAGATTCGCGCGTGCTGATTGCGGAGTACTTGCGTCCCGAACAGCCCAGCGTGTATACCAGCACCGTCGACATGTTCATCCTGAATATTGGCGGCAAGGTGCGCAGTGAGAAGACATTTGGGGAGCTTGCGGCGAAGGCTGGGCTGGAGATCGTGTCGGTGGCGAGGCATGACAAAACAGAATCGGCGGTGGTTGAGCTGGCACTGATTTAGTAGCTTCGATACATCACTTCGCCTGACGCATCATCTTTAGAATCACCAAAGCAGTCATCGAAGTATGGACACGATCAGTTCTTGGGTGAAACACCAGGCGTATTACGCGTCGATAGCTTATCTTACCAGGTCACGTGTCTTCGCGTTTTAGCGTCAAACCTTAGCTCAGCTTGTCAGCTTCCCCGCGCTGTACACCTCAACCGCCTTACATACCTCGATACCAACTATCAGCTTTTCCACATCATCTCAAGCAAAAGTGTGACTTGTCATAAATCTTTGGATAAGCCGTGGCTCTATCGTCATCGGACATTATCAGGCACAACCTCAGGCGTTCCTACACAACAATGGCTACTGCGGCGTCTTCGAGTTCATTCCGCTTCCGTGACCTTCCTGGCGAGGTAAGCCACCCAGGTTTCCATTTATGTATCGTGCACTGACTCCGGAAATGACAGATTCGTAAAAAAGGTCTATCGTATCGTACTATGCAGTTTCCGACCCCCACCAACTACGATAGAGCCCTCGTCTTTCTTCACTCCGGAACTTGCCAAACATGATATCGAGACTAGTATACTGCGTACATCGAAGGAAACATATCTTGAAGCTTACGATGTCATGGTTAAGAGTAACCGCTTCGTCAAGATCACATCGTCCCGAGGTCATTCCCTGCGGGGTCCCTTGAAAGGGCGGGCGATTCGGATGATCGCGATTGACGAAGAAATCGTCGACAAATTTAAAGGATACGTGCTTAGTGTGCACATTGGTTTCAAAAGCCCGCGGAAAATCTCTATCACCCATGATCCCGGACATGACCCTCATAGTCTATTTGAACCCGTCAGCGCTATGATCCTTCACAGTGACATGGAGAGTTTCTGCGACGCATTGAACGATGTACAATTACACGATTTGGGTTTTGTTAATAAAGTCAGGATTTCCATTACTATGGCTCCAGTTCTAGACTTGGTTCAAGGCAACAATACATCGCCGACCTTCGCCAGTTTCTTCACCAAACAGACGCAGGAAACGCTGTTGAAGCCTCTCATGGCCAAACTGTATGGATATAAATCAGTCGAGATTAACGGCCACGTGGACGATACCTTGGTAATTGCTGTTCGTCAAAGCCTCGCTGAAGACCGATATTCCAACCCTGCAACTGTTCTAGCAGATTTTGCTGCAGAGAAAGACCGGTATACACGAATATTCAAAGACAACAACATACAAGAGGCCTGCATGGGTTGGCAAGACACTGTATACGAGCTGGATAAGTTGCATCAGTCTGACTCTTGGCCAAATCTGGTTCGACGTGGAGGTGATGAGTTTGTGTCACAAATAGTCCCACTATATTTTCTCATGCAGCTCAACATTGCCCACATCCAGATTGGCAACATGCAGACCTTCGCATTTGGTTCCGAAATGTTGGCTGAAGGTGCACTCATATCCGCCCTTCGGTCGACGAAAGAAGGCTTCTGGAAATCCGGCTACAAATTCAGGCCATCCGCTCAGCATCTCGCGAAATTGCGATACCGGTACGCGCTTTTCATGAGGTTAGAAGGAAATCCTCAGAATGCAGATCGTGCGTTGAAACACATCGATGCCGCACTTCGTCTGCAACCGGGGGATGCTGCACTCATGAGAGAACGCGAGACAATACTCGCATGGATACAACAGCTCTAGAATCAGATTCAGCGATCTCTACCTATGCTTAGGTCTTTTTGTTGCTACTGAAGGACGGTGATTTCCCTTTGTGTTCCTAGCCCTTGGTTTCACCGCAGAGCTTGGCGATTGGCTGGGGAACTATAATCGTTCTAGCCGAAGCGCTCGATTGCTACTTTCTCAATTCTCCTGCACTTACCTCTTTTCTCATCGCGCGCCCCTTTGGTGAGACGCCCTCAACATGGTCTCCGATAAAATCCGCCGTCTTGAAAGACGCGCAGAACAACCCTTCCGCTTCATGGACCTTCCTGGAGAGTTGCGCAACAAGGTATACGCTTTACTCCTTTGCTCCTTCGGATCTACCCCGGACCGCGCTAGAGAGCGCAGCGACGCCTTTCTCGACGACCGTTCTGGCTTATTGCATGTTGTCGACCTTCCGCACACGAACAACCCAACTATCCTTCGTACCAATAGCCAGATCCATCGCGAAGCCTACGATGTCATGATCAAGACCAACCGTTTCATTCGCGTTCGACTCACACAAGCTCTACCCCTTCGAAAGATCCTTTGCTGTCTGGGTGTTGCGGTAGTCGCGACTGGGCACCGTGCAGCGCAATCCAGCAGGTACGTCATGATCTCCTAGCTCAAACTCTGAACTATTGCATCAAGTACACCCACTGATAGACCAGATACAGATATTTGGTAGACATATTTATGTCGACGTACCCACTCAGCAAATACCAGGGTCAATCATGCGACTCCCGATCGACTAGTATAATCGTTCGTGTCAACGATCTTGAGCTGTTCTGCCGTGACTTTAAGAAAGTAGACGCAATATCTCCAGTGCTATCTAAATATATAACAATGGTCATCGACGTAGCCCCGATGCTCGATCATAAACGCCCATGGTATCGGGACGACTTTGCCACTTTCTTTTCCGAGACCACCCAAAAGGCGATATTGAAGCCGTTACTCTTGCTGAGAGAAATTGCTAGCGTCGAATTTCGGGGCCCTGTCATGCCGAATATTGCGGTCAAGCTTGGGAACAGCATGATATCCGACGAGCATGAAGATCTTGACCACAGCTTTCATCTTATAACGTGGATCAAGGAACTTGGAGTCAAGTCGTATTATGAAGGCAATATGAAGAGTGCAATCTCAATTTGGGGAGACGCACTGATGAGGTTGCTGTGCATGCGTGAGAGTAAAGCCTGGACAAAGCTTATGGAAATGTATGGAGAAACTTCGATTAACAGGTTCGCGACGCTGCAATGCTCACTCGGTCTCAACTTGACACAAGCCGAGATAGTTCGGTGGCGCGAAGCCTCATGGAGTGCCACAACGGAGACTGGCCTGGATGTGGTCCGCATGTGCCGCCACCAAGGAGACTGGAAGGATGGCTACACCTGGACCTTACCTAACGTTCTGGCTGCGAAGTACTTTTACCGGACGGCTTTGTGCATTAGACTCTGGGGACAAACCTCGGAGGCTGTTGTCGCTTTGGAATCCATCAGCCAAGCTCAGATGCTTGCACCTTACGATCCCGCCATACCGAAGGAGCAACGTAACATCAAGAGGTGGGCAGGCATGGTTTGATAACGGCATGGCGAACGGCGATCTTTGGAGAGGTTGTATTGACACCCCAACATTTCGAAAGCTCTCATCACATCTGCACAACGTCGCTTGACATGTCCGATGTAGGTGAAGGTATCTTCGCTTCACGACGGGACGTTGGGAGTCGGACCGATGCTCCAGATACTACCACCAGATTATGACCAATAAAGCCATATGAGATCGTCGGCATGCAATATCTTGCATCGTCTTCCCAACAAGGGCAGATCGACGTAGATAGCAATAGATGTACTCATTCATAGCATGTGACCTTTTGCTTGTTTGATTCTTTCTCTACGCTCAGAGGGAGACAGAATGAACATCTCGAAACTCTTGCGACTTCTATCTGAGCCTGTGTCGCATATAAATTGCAATACGGAAGAGAACGCCGGCGACAGCAGAGACGGAAGGCAAGTATGGCAGCTATTCAGGAGTTAAGAACATAGTAATGTCGCTATCATTAATCATGCTGGCTACAATGATTTCTTCCATACTGCGTTTGCATGCGAGGAAATATCGGGTTCAGATAGACTTCAGGAAAGGCGATTGCAGAATGATATCCTAGAGTTACTAGGGCGTTCATCTGCGCCTATCAAGAACGCGTACAAGTCTATATCCCTACGACTACCGGACTCGGCGTCTACGATGCAGAAGCGGCTATATGCAAGGCCTATATTCGACGCGAAGCAAACGTTAATTCTAGTGATAGGACAAACTCCTCTACACATTCAGACAGTTGCTCACATACTCGATAGTCGTAGGAATATCATAGAAATACTTTGATGTACATTCATATACTTCCGTTTTCAGTAAGATATCTCATCACCCCAATCTTCCCTGATCATCTCGCTACCCTTCTCAGCCACCATGTAAATACTCGCCAAGATGTTAGCATCCGGAAGTACCGGTACAATGCTACAATCAACAACTCTCAATCCATCAACGCCATACACTCTCAACCTACTATCTACGACACCTCCATTCTCCAACGGCAGCATTTGGTTCGTACCAGTAGCATGCCAGTTTGGAATCGTGTTCGCTTTGATGTACTCCAAGATAGCTTCATCATCGTCATCAGCAACCGCGGGGCCAGGGCTGACTTCACCAGCGTTCGGCCCGATTGTAAAGCGAGACAAGGCCGGGTGGCGAAGAATAGAGCGGAGATACTTGAACGAGGCAATACCGACAGCGCTATCAGTGGGGTCGGCATAGTAATTACTATTAATGAGGGGGCTATCAGACATGGAGGCACTGCGGAGGGTCACGGTACCGCGGGATAGCTGGACCATGCTAGAAGCCGTGACAGAGATATAGGAGTCATTCGGTAGTGGCGCCCAGTATGGTGTAGGAATCCACGGGTACCAGACACTCTCAAATAGGTATTCAATGTGTGTTTGGTTCGCTAGACCGGCGTCGATGACGGCCTGCGCACCGATGTCGCGGAGTTGCTGCTCGGTGAGCTTCTGGAAACCGTTCGTTACGCCGGATGGAGCAGTGTATTGACCGGTCAGGTTCTGATAGTATGCTTCTTGAGCGGCGCGCAAATTTTGGGGTGTGCGAGACATGTCGGTTGTGGAAGCATTATCCTGCGCACGCGCCATGATACTGAACACGGAGTGATCATTGAGATTGCGGCCGACGTTTTCATTAATCACGACCGGCTGTACGCCGACCTTCTCCAATTCAGCAGCTGGGCCAATGCCGGAGACCATGAGGAGCTGAGGCGAGTGAAAAGCACCCATGCTTACGATGACTTCGTTACGTGCTCTTGCTTGACTTGAAAAGCCAGTCAGCTGGTTGATATAGCTGACACCAACGGCGCGCGGTCTGCTGCTAGTGGAGTTTGTCATGTTGCCAGATGGGCTGCTGAAAACGATCCCAGTGACAGGCGCGTCATGCAAAACCCGTAGATTCGTTCGGTTGCGAGCTTGCTCATAGAAACTGTCGTAACTAGAGCTTCTTCGGAGCATACTGTTGAGGGTAGCCGTTCCGTGTTTCACACCCACACCGTCACCAAGATTGAGATCCTCAACGATAGGTATGTTCGCAGCTTCGCTGCAAGCGACAATAAACCCATCTGTAGATGGCGGGACATATCCTTGGAAGCCTAGCTCAAGTGGTCCTCCACCATACGCATCAGCGTCGAACGTCTTGTAATCTTGGCTGAACACTGAAAGCTCTGGTGTTGCAGTGGGCGCATTCATCTTTGTACTCTTCCTGAACAGGCGATACACATCGTTCCACCCCCATCCTGGGTTGCCCAACTCGGCCCAATGATCGTACACGCTGGCTGAGCCTCGTGCATAGTAAAGACCATTCGTCGTGCTAGACCCACCGAGGGTTCGTCCGCGAAGGTACTGCAGGGTGCGATTGTTTAAGTGTTCTTGTGGTGTGGTCAAAAGACCCCAGTCGATAACACTGCCTTTGATGAACTGATTGCCACCAGGTGATTCGTGTGATAGGACCTGCTCAGGACTAGGACCGGCTTCGAGGACCAGCACAGAAAAACGTCCAGACTCCGTAAGACGATTCGCCAGAACGAGACCGGCTGTTCCCCCTGCATACTGTTAGTAGAACCATCGAGGTATGCTGACAAGCGAACGCAAATGGAAAGTGTTCCTGGAGCAGTTTATGAGGGGACAGGAGTGTGTATACTACGTACCACCTGCGACGATGAAGTCGTACTCTTCGTTGAAGACGGGCTCTTGATCTTGACTCCCTTGCTGCGGAAGGTCAGCTGGCCCCTGACGTTTCCCCAACTGTGAATTATGTAGGTTGTACGTCGGCCACGCGGAGGCTATGTTGGTCAAAGACGAGATCGAGAGCAATAGACATGTCGATGCCTGAGCCGCGGTGCAATACCGCATCTTGAAAGTATGCTTGCTCTTTCTCTTCCGCCTGGGTAAGTGATCAGAAGAGTGCAAAACAAAATAGCTTCACCTTTTTCGAGACTATGGTACTGTGATAATCTACACGATCACGACGGAGCGGATGTATCCTTTTATACTTAGTTGTCATCTCTGTCACAATGGGCGGAATCAAGGACAAAATAGCCAAGGCCTTGGGCGTGGGCTTCCTGCGCCTTGGTACACGCAATCGCATGCTGAAAAAACAAGCTCAAGATTTGCTGTCAGCCACGCCGAGAGTGCCGGACAGCTCCGCCATAGCCGGTGATGTTCGAATTCCAAGTCTTGAAAACAACCCGTGTCAGGGTGAGCCCAGTTGGGACGCGTCTTGGCTTCTTACAATGGGGCCATAGTACACGCTCCGGTGAGGGCGGTTCTCTCAAAGGTGCCTTGCTTACACCGGCAACGATGACTACAAGGAGGGGCAACACGTGTAGTAGAACGGCGTGCTGTGTAACATTGCTGCAAACACCTGGAAGTCGCAAGAAAGGGCCATTCGTGGCACCGCGTGATAGCGCAGGTGCAACCTCGCACGATGGTTCCTATGTAGAATACCCCAAGCCAAGGCAGAATCGTCATTGCCGAGCCTGGGGTTACGCGAGATCGCGGCTCAATGTCGATCTACGTACCTCCATGTAAGCCCGCCCAGCAGGTAGGGCCGGAGTTTGCAGTCGCAGAAACGTTGATGGTGCTAGTGACAGGTGCCAATGCGACGGCTCGAGGAGCGTTCTCCGGAAGTGCGGGGAAGCTAAGCCACCGCCAATGGATAGCGACGCGCACCTTTCGATACATCAGGAAGTATCTGGGTATGCAGAACGATATGCGCGTATGGAACGACTACTCCGTACGGTCGTACGCGATGCTCGTGGCCATGCACCTGTTCCAATGTTCGTGTAAGCCTTAGGCGTGAGCCGGTGTTCCGAACCAGAATATTCGCTTCTTGTCGACATGGCGCGTCATCTAGCGATGAGGAAATTCATCCGGCATACGATCGCTTGATGGGTATATGGTTAACACCAGCAGCAGAGTCGATCCAATCAATTGTTCGAGACGACATTGCTTGCGCATCGCTCTATACCTGTATGTGAACAGGCTGACGGGGAGTTCCAACTGAACGGAATTTTCCTCTTGTAGGGGATCCGTGGATTACGTTGCTGCACTTCTTCGTATTTGTTTGATTTGGGCGACATGCGATGAAAGACTGGGGTAGGACTCGATGAGAAGTTGGCTGGCGTCGATGCGCAAAGTCTCGAGAAAGACGATGATGATAAAGCCCGACCTGAGAAGTATGAATGAAGAGGCGGGCGTTCCATTACCTAAACAAGCCTCGCGATTACTCATCGGGCTGCCCCTTTGCACCTGCAAAGACTGATTCCGACTCCGCCTCAAGCACTGTCTTCTTGGTACATCCACACATTCGGCGCATTCAAACACTCGGTGCATTCATTGTTTGACTTCCTAGATATTCGGTGTATTTACAGACTCAGAAGACCTATCAGCTATTAGAGAGCGGCGAGAATTACCTCATGCAGTTGGAGCGGGCACACTTGCACCCTCAACCTTACAAGAGAGTCTCTTCTTCTGCGTGCCAAGCCCCAGACCAGAAGCAGTGTGGCCCTATCACTGGAAGTGACCGAGCTGCTTTGCACGAAGATACGCACATTGGACCTCTACGGATAGAATGTAGCATAGAGCAATGAATTGAGCACTACAACAAGCATTGACCACCAAGCTGTCCTGGATGATGATTACCTCGGTTTTACAATCTTCTAAGGTCTTGATCATGCCTGATCTCCTTGCGGATTATGGTGAACTCGGCGCATTCACATTATCGGTATCATCACGCACTGACACACGGTATCCTCACACACTCGGTACATTACGGGATCGGCATAGGCACGAGATATACACATGATGTATCGCGGTAGTTCGATCAGCCTGATCACATGTCGTATCGTTGACATGGGATGGATATGGCTAGGAACCTCTGGTATGGTGGTCATCTCATCCGGGGAGCTGTGTCTCTACTATCGATATCATTATGACCGTAAGCCGAGCGCGAATGTATAAGTACTGCTT